AAGTTGACTCTCGAGTATGAATCCCCGACCGATATGGCCCCTTTTTCCGACATGGATTTTGTGCTGGCTCTGGCCACGACCGGGCGCTCCCACCTGGAGGAACTGGAACTTAACGTGGAAGATATCAATGATATGGGCCTGGAACACTTCCCTCAGCAGCAGTCTCTGCTCAGGGCGCTGCCCCGCCTGCCGGCGCTCAAGACCCTGGAGGTAAAGGGCGAGGCCAGCGACGAACTCCTGCTCGGCGTCACGCCCGCCAACGCGCCGGCCCTGCGCTCCCTCAAGGTATTAACAGTAGGCGTCAAGTGTGCGCACGACGCACTGCACCGGGGCGCGGTGCAGATCCTCCTGTCCTTGAACCCCGACCTGAAGTTTTCCACCCATGAGCTAAGCTATTGCTACACTGATGATCGTTGCGCGTGGTGTACACTGGGCTGCCACCAGGAGATGCGGCAAGATTTGGATCCACCACTAAAACATTCTGCCGACTGGGTCACCATTCCTCGATTGTGAAATTGTGAAATTAGTTGTTTATTTTTCATTAATCTTCGATACTAATAATAACTTTCCCCTTACCCTTCTATATGTACTAAAAACTTGAATAATTTGTTTTGTCTTTCACCTGGGATTGAAATATATTATCGTTTGTATCAGGGAATCATATCCTTCTTTTCCAACCAATTACCCGGCAACGAGGATGCGAAAAACAATATCAAGGGGGCCGGTGATAACTTGGTAACGCTTACGAGTTACGTAGAGGTAGCCGCCGCCATGTGTTCCGCGTCTGAGGCGCAGAATTCTCAGCGCCGCGGACTGTTATGGTCACATTGCAAGGCAGGAGACTTTTAAGTGCACAAAAGCTAGCGAGCAAACTCAAGCTGACGCTCCCTTGAGAAAGCCGCGACACTCACGCCCTATTTATGAGAATCGCCGTGTTTCATATGGGATCCTAAAGGTGGCGCCGCAGGCCCCAATGATTTACGAATGAAATAATCCCACAAGCTAAAAATAAGAAGAATGCCGGGAACAAGAAAGAGGAAATCACTATACGTTCACATAGAGAATCTGCTTTATTGTTCCAAGCATTTTTCTGCATTTCAGCTTTACCACGGAGAATGCTTTTCCCGAGGCGCCGTGAGGGCAAGCAGCCTACGGTGAACAACAGATGTTACAATCCGAAATGAACAACAGTTGGCAACATTGAAATATTAAGGTTGGCACGGTTGGCAGTCGGTCTGGAAGGGGGTGTTTATGTCTACGTCAGTACTCCTGGATCGGTTTGCGTAAAAGGATCTATATTTAATTGCTTAAATTGTTAGAAAGCCTCCCTCTTTTGCCCGGTAAGTTTTTGCGATGCCTTCGGGGTTCGCCTAATGCATACATTATAAGGTGTTGTCTGTAGTCACCACCAAACGAAAGTCTCCGTCCCGTCTTTTAAGGTTAGGTGGTCTGTTTTGATACTTGGACCTTGGACGGTCACGGACATCGCGGTTGAGAAAACTGCAGCTATGCTGACTCGAGCAAGAAAACGGGCTCAAACGTCCCTTGCTCCACTTCCGCCTAAGAAGGGCAAGGGCAAAGTCGAGGAACCGGTAAGTAATATCGTAAGCCAGTAGGCTGCGCACCCGCAACACTAGGGTGCTCGCTCGGACACGCACGTTTCACACACGACTCTGCCGGCAGCCGCCCCTGCCGCCGCCGCCGCCCCCGCCCCCGACGACGCTCCTGTCGTTGCCCGACGTGCCGCTAGTGGAGGTGCTCTCCCACTTGTCGGTGGAGGACCTGGTGCGCGCCGGGCAGGCGAACCCCAGGCTGGGCGCGCTCACCAGGACGCACGCGTCGCTGTGGCGCGGGAAAGAACAGTATGACAAGAAGTACTACTTCGAGGACGCCGCCGCACTGTCGGCGCTGCTGCGGGTGGTGCCGCCCGTGTACAAGATGAAGTTCACTGTGCGCCGTTCTCCCATGATTGTGGCCCAATTAGTGAGCTTCACCAGGTGGGAACCCGGAGGCTGACTGCTGGTCTGCGGTGACGTGCATATTCGGTGCTGACCCACTCATGTATATTGGCTAACGGACGAAGAAGAATAGAGGGAAGAACGTAAAGGTTCCTGATTGGTCAAGCCTATAACCCCCCCCCCCTCCCCACCGACACGTGAGGTGCAGGCGGGAATCTCTGGACGAATCGGGGACATTTATGTTCTACCTGCTCTTCTTCTTCCTCTTGTTAACCGAATTACACAACTTATTTTTTGCCTGCAGGAAAAATCAGCTGAAAGGCTTCACCACGTTGGCAGTGGAGGGCTTCACCACCGAGCACTGCGTCAGCATAATCCAGGAGGTTAAGGCCCACCTGGAGTACCTGGAGATCTCGGGTCTTGATCGTGGGCTGGAGGTTCTCCTGCTAGGCTTGCGGTCCGCCCGCCTCCTGATAAATCTGAGCATCACCTTGGAATCTTATTTTCACAAATGTAACTTCAGCTGGCCGCAGGTGAGTGTGTGTAGGGGCGAAGGGGGGGGGGGGGACAACGCAGCAACCATCATGTTCTTGACCGCCCGTGTCCTGTCCGCAGGCGGCGTTGCCCGGATTGCGCCACGTGACCTTGGCAAGTACCGGCCAGTACTACGACGGCTCTCGACAGCGGGGACCTGATGACACCGTACTCCAAGCCCTGGGCTCGCTGCTGCTGGCGCACACGTACGCTGTTCCGATGATGCTGTTCCGAGAATGGGGAGAAGTGGGAAATCCCGTCATTTTTGTTTTCTTTGAATACTTTGCTTACAGTCGTACTGTGCGCTTCTTGAATTTGAAGACTTTGCAAATGCTGCCGTTGCTGCCGCTGCTGGACTCCCGTCCTGGTGCACTCGATCGGCTGCTCGTGACTGTGACTGTACCCTTTAGACCGGCCGTGGTGCTGCAGCCACTGCGTAGGCTCCAGGATCTGAAGCTCCTCTCGTCTTACTACGGCGGGTTGATACCCAAAGTATGGACGCATCCCCTGTACTGCGGTGAGCTTGCCCGGTAACCTGCCACGTGCTGCTCTCTAGAAACTTTCATCGTTTGCAGAACCAGCTTGTCGCGGTGCTGGAGTCGTGCAAGGGCTCACCACTGAAACGCCTGGATGTCAGAAGCTGCGGAACCCAGACGCTCCGCACCCTGGCTGACGCGCAGCTCAGCGGCCTGAAGCAGCTAGTTCTCAGCTTTGACTCGGACTATGTCCTGGAAGCGGGCGCTCTGCGGGCTGCGCTGGCGAGCCTGCCCAACCTCCACTCCCTCCACATCCTGAAGCTGCAGACGCCGCCGCCGCCCGAGGCGCTCGCCTGCATCCCGGCTGGAGCCATCCCGGCACTGAGCCTCGTGTTCTTCACGGACAGCTTCAAGACCGACCAGGACGCCGCCGAACCGCAGTCTGACTACGCGGGATTCGCACGTAAGACGCTTCACCATTCAAAGTGTTTCCTGTGTGCGTCCGCTTAGAACGGGAGATTACGGTCCCTGCCTTGTATCCATTCGCAGAGTGCCAGGACCTCGTGCGCAGGTCCCCGATGCCGCTCCACGTAGTTGTGAAGGTGACCTGGCATAAACGTGTCGTCTGGGTTCCTCATGGTGAAAGGTGCATCCTCTTCTTCAAGCACCCAACGACGACCGAACCAGATGCGGCCTTGTGTACCCTATGCACCGAAGCCGAAACTGCTTTACTTTTGCGCTGCGGCGTGGCCGCGAAAATTGACGATCGTGTTCAAGTGCAGTAGCCAACACAGACAATAACTGCAATGCTTAACCGCCTTAACACTTGAATTCATACATCATGTCATGTACAAAGGCCGCAGCTCGGTTATAGCGCAAGATGATTGGGGGGGGGGGGCAAACGGCTCGGCCGGCTGACTTTTGTTCATCTACTTTTGCTCTAGCCCAGCCCTCGATGCAGTGAATAAAAAAGGATTGACACTTAAATATACGTCTTTCCTGTTGTCGCACCCCCGCGTCAAATACCTCAGTAAGATGCTAGCTTTTGCCCGATCGCCAAAAAGATCCTATAAAGAAAGTATGGTGATGACCAGCTACCGAGGCGTGGCAACGGTGTCCTTCCCCAGCGCGACGGGCCATCGGCCGGCTGGTCCATGACGCTGTCCTGGCCTGGTGCCTAGCTCCCATGCGACCGGCCGCGCACGCCACTGGAGACTTCTCGGTTAAGATGCGGACGGACCTCTGGAGGTGGTTGCAACCTTGATCCGCCTCGGTCTGCCTCGACGCGCTGCCGTGCCGTCGAGGAGGGTGGCGCCGTGCCCAAGGCCACGCAGCTGCAGCACCTGGGCGGACACCTGTGGGCCTGGCACCGTGACTGTTGGTGCGGACGGCGCTGCGGGCGCCACGGCTTTCTGAACAACTACAGCCGATCCGTTACACTGGCTCCACTAGGGTCTATCCTTTTAAGAAGGATGCTAGTAGCTACGTGCTAGTAGCTAGGTGCTACATGCTAGGTGCGATGTAGCTAGATGCTAGGTGCGATGTAGCTAGATGCGGAGCTATCTTCAACTAAGCATTTCTCTGAGCTACGCGCCCCCAAGCGTACGCTCCTGCAAGCGTGACCAGGGCGAGGGGCAGGGGGCGGGGAGGGACGGCGCCCGCGATCCACGCCGCGCCAAGCGAAGCTCACGCTTGGGTCACGCTTGGGCCACGCTTGGGGGCGCGTAGCTCACGAAAAACGCTTAATTGAATATAGCTCCAGGCCAGGCGCGGTGGGGGAAGAAGGGCACGCAAATCGACAGACTACCTAGCACGTAGCAGGGGCGGATCTGGCTCGCAGTTCAAGGGGGGGCAAACATTGCGGGTTGCCTACTTCCAG